ATGTAGTCCCAATTTTTAAAAAAGGAGACAGACATGAGGCATTAAACTATAGACCTGCATCACTAATATGTATAGTATGCAAAGTCATGGAGATCATCATCAGGAGGAGAGTGGTGGAGCACCTGGAAAGAAACAAGCGTATAATCGACAACCAGCACGGTTTCAGGGAAGGAAAATCCTGCGTCACAAACCTACAGGAGATTTATGACAAGGTGACAGAAGACAAGAGAGGGATGGATAGATTGCATTTCCTTGGACTGCAAGAAGGCCTTCAACACAGTTCCTCACAAGAGGTTAATGCAAAAGCTAGAGGATCAGGCACACATAACAGGAAAGGCACTGCAATGGATGGGAGAATATCTGACAGGGAGGCAACAACTAGTCATGGTACGTGATGAGGTGTCAGAGTGAGCGCCTGTGACAAGCGGGATTACACAGGGGTCAGTCCTAGGACTCATGCTGTTTTTGGTATATGTGAATGACATGATGGAAGGGATGGACTCAGAAGTGTCCTTGTTTGCAGAGTATGTGAAGTTAATGAGAATAATGAAATTGGTCGAGGATCAGGCAGGACTACAAAGAGACCTGGACAGGCTACAAGCCTGGTCCAGCAACTGGCTCCTTGAATTTAACCCTGCCAAATGCAAAGTCATGAAGATCACGGAAGGGCAAAGAAGATCGCAGACAGAGTCTAGTCTAGGTGGCCAAAGACTGCATACCTCACTCAAGGTAAAAGATCTTGGGGTGAGTATAATGCCGAGCACATCTGAGGCGCACATCAGTCAGATAACTGCGCACATCAGTCAGATAACTGCTGCTCATGGAGCAGGGAGAGAGAGGACCTAGTAGCAATCAACGAACAGGTGGGGTCAGGAGCTGACTACCCCTGCAACCACAAATAGGTAAGTACATACGTACACACACACATGCACACACACGTGCACACACACGTGCACACACACACACGCGTGCACACACAAGTTGAGATAAATAGGCTGAAGCGAGTTACAGGGGCAGTGACCAGAGAAGACACAGCATATGAAGCTGCGAGGCCGAACAGGAAGGAAGGAATTGTGAATTATGCTAAGGTCATATCAGCCTGCCAAGGAGGACCAAGGAGTGAAAGGGAAGAACAGCTGGTTGCAGATGGAGAGGGTGATAGGTCGAATGCTGAGGCACAACCATGCTATCAAGAGCCACTGGAAAAATCGAGGGAGAAACTGACCACATACAGGCAGGATCCAGAGTCACAGAGGGTGAGGCAATGGGAGGAGGAAAGGGCAAAATCAGTGTTTATCCATGGGCTTCAGGAGAGAGAGGAAAGGACACACACTGAAAGGCAGCAGGAAGAAAGAAAGGAGATTGAGAAAATCATCACGGAAATAGGTGAAGAGATGGACGAGACTGTAAATTTTCAGAGAATAGGGGGGTACTCGAAGGGGAGAAACCAACCAATCAAGCTGATTCTCAGGACAGAAACAGTGCAGAACAGGATCCTCCAAGAGAAACCACGATTGAAATACTCGGAAGAGTACAAGAGGGTGTTCCTAGACAGAGACAGAACAAAATCAGAACGACAGCAGCTGAGGGAGAGGACAAAAAAGCGAAAGGAGCTAGGAAAAGAGACAAGGATGGAACCAGCAGAGGTCAGTCAGAGCAGAACAGAACAGCAAGGGCAAGCGCACACACAACTATTCTCAGAACCATACAACCTATCACACCATCCCAACACACACTACAAGTCCATACCCACAGCCTCCACCCAACACCGGGCTATAGAATCCCACAGTATGCCACCAGGTCTCCCACCCTCACAGGCCCCCAAACCACAGTGTTGGAAAGGAAACTGAAGGTATGGTACACAAACGCTGATGGAATAACAAATAAGTGGGAGGAGTGGCATGAGAGTCAAAAAGGTATCACCGGACATCATAGCTCTCACAGAAACCAAGCTTACAGGTATGATAACAGATGCCATCTTTCCAGCAGGATACCAAATCCTGAGGAAAGACAGAGGGAACAGGGGGGATTGGAGGAGTGGCATTGCTGATCAAAAATCGCTGGAATTTTGATGAGCTGGAGAGAGGAGACAGCAGAGAAGAAAGTGATTACATAGCGGGAATGCTTCACTCTGGAGGTCCCAAGGTGGTAATAGCAGTGATGTATAACCCACCACAGAACAGCAGGAGGCCAAGGCAAGAGTACGACGAGAGCAATAGAGTGATGGTTGACACACTGGCTAGAGTGGCCAGAAGAGCTCATGCATGCAGGGCAAAGCTCCTGATCATGGGTGACTTTAACCCAAGGAGATCGATTGGGAGAACTTGACCGCATGGGGGCCAAGATACATGGAGGGCTAAGATGATGGAGGTGGTACTGGAAAACTTCATGTACCAACACGTAAGGGATACTGCAAGAGAGAGAGAGGGGAGGATGAACCAGCAAGGCTGGACTTAGTATTCACCTTGAGTAGTGCAGATATCGAGGACATCACATATGAAAGACCCCTTGGGGCCAGTGACCATGTGGTTTTAAGCTTCGAATACACAGTAGAGCTACAAGTAGAGGGAGAAGCAGGAAGGCCAGGACGAATGAAGCCAAACTACAAGAAAGGGGACTACACAGGAATGAGGAACTTCCTGAATGGGGTTCAGTGGGACAGAGAACTGGCAGGGAAGCCAGTTAATGAGATGATGGAATATGTAGCAACAAAATGCAAGGAGGCTGAGGAGAGGTTTGTACCCAAGGGTAACAGGAATAATGAAAAAGCCGGGATGAGCCCATGGTTTACCAAAAGGTGCAGGGAGGCAAAAACCAAGTGTGCTAGGGAATGGAAGAAATATAGAAGGCAAAGGACCCAGGAGAATAAGGAGAGCAGTCGTAGAGCCAGAAACGAATATGCACAGATAAGAAGGGAGGCCCAAAGACAGTATGAAAATGACATAGCAGCGAAAGCCAAATCTGACCCGAAACTGTTGTACAGCCACATCAGGAGGTAAACAACAGTCAAGGACCAGGTAATCAGGCTAAGGAAGGAAGGAAGGAGGAGAGACAACAAGAAATGATCGTGAAGTATGTGAGGAACTCAACAAGAGATTCAAAGAAGTGTTCACAGAGGAGACAGAAGGGGCTCCAGAAAGACGGAGAGGTGGGGCACACCACCATGTGCTGGACACAGTGCACACAACCGAGGAAGAAGTGAAGAGGCTTCTGAGTGAGCTAGATACCTCAAAGGCAATGGGGCCAGATAACATCTCCCCATGGGTATTGAGAGAGGGAGCAGAGGTGCTATGTGTACCCCTAACAACAATATTCAATACATCTATCGAAACAGGGAGATTGCCTGAGGCATGGAAGACAGCAAATGTAGTCCCAATCTTTAAAAAAGGAGACAGACATGAAGCATTAAACTACAGACCAGTGTCACTGACATGTATAGTATGCAAAATCATGGAGAAGATTATCAGAAGAGTGGTGGAACACCTAGAAAGGAATGATCTCATCAACAGCAGCCAACATGGTTTCAGAGACGGGAAATCCTGTGTCACAAACCTACTGGAGTTCTATGACATGGTGACAGCAGTAAGACAAGAGAGAGAGGGGTGGGTGGATTGCATATTCTTGGACTGCAAGAAGGCATTTGACACAGTTCCACACAAGAGATTGGTGCAAAAACTGGAGGACCAAGCAGGGATAACAGGGAAGGCACTGCAATGGATCAGGGAATACTTATCAGGAAGACAGCAGCGAGTCATGGTATGTGGCGAGGTGTCAGTGGGCACCTGTGACCAGCGGGGTCCCACAGGGGTCAGTCCTAGGACCAGTGCTGTTTCTGGTATTTGTGAACGACATGACGGAAGGAATAGACTCTGAGGTGTCCCTGTTTGCAGATGACGTGAAGTTGATGAGAAGAATTCACTCGATCGAAGACCAGGCAGAACTACAAAGGGATCTGGACAGGCTGCAGACCTGGTCCAGCAACTGGCTCCTGGAGTTCAATCCCACCAAGTGCAAAGTCATGAGGATTGGGGAAGGGCAAAGAAGACTGCAGACGGAGTACAGTCTAGGGGGCCAGAGACTACAAACATCACTCAAGGAAAAAGATCTTGGGGTGAGTATAACACCAGGCACATCTCCTGAAGCGCACATCAACCAAATAACTGCCGCAGCATATGGGCGCCTGGCAAACCTCAGAACAGCATTCCGACATCTTAATAAGGAATCGTTCAGGACCCTGTACACCGTGTACGTTAGGCCCATATTAGAGTATGCGGCACCAGTTTGGAACCCACACCTAGCCAAGCATGTAAAGAAACTAGAGAAAGTGCAAAGGTTTGCAACAAGACTAGTCCCAGAGTTAAGAGGTATGTCCTATGAGGAGAGGTTAAGGGAAATCAACCTGACGACACTGGAGGACAGGAGAGAGAGGGGGGACATGATAACGACTTACAAAATACTGAGAGGAATCGACAAGGTGGACAAAGACAGGATGTTCCAGAGACTGGACACAGCAACACTGGGACACAGTTGGAAGCTGAAGACACAGATGAATCAAAGGGATGTTAGGAAGTATTTCTTCAGCCACAGAGTAGTCAGGAAGTGGAATAGTTTGGGAAGCGATGTAGTGGAGGCAGGATCCATACATAGCTTTAAGCAGAGGTACGATAAAGCTCATGGTTCAGGGAGAGTGACCTAGTAGCGACCAGTGAAGAGGCGGGGCCAGGAGCTTGGACTTGACCCCTGCAACCTCAACTAGGTGAGAACTAGGTGAACGAACACACACACACACACACACACACACCACACACACACACACACACACACACACACACACACACACACACACACACACACACACACACACACACACACACACACACACACACACACACACACACACACACACACACATATGCACACGCACACGCACACACATGCACACACTCTATATATCTCTATCTCCATATGCACGCACATGCCCCACACACATACCACATGCACTAATATTACACACCTGCTCGTATGACACATATGCTTCTACCACCTGGAGTATGTTTGGAGGGGGTTTCAGGGATCTATGCCCCTGCGGCCCAGTCCATGACCAGGCCTCACGGTGGATCAAGGCCTGATCAACCAGGCCGTCCTCTTGCCACACACATGCTCCTTCCACACGCATGCTCCTTCCACACGCATGCTCCTGCCACATGTGCTCATGCCACACGTGCACATACCACATACTTCTGACAAAATGGTATTTGAATGATAATGAATAGATTTATTTCTTTGGATCTCCTTGCCTTGGTTAGAAATAGCTAAATATGGATGTTAATTATGACTAAATTAAGGGTACGTATTTGAAGAAAATTGATATACATGTATTTACAGATGAAGAGAAAGATAGCGTCTAGTTTTAGTCTGTTTAACATACTGATGTAATGATTTGTAATTTTCAGTATCTGCGAAGTGTCCGTCCACTAATGGATGATGAGAATTATGTTCGGATGGAGAAGCTTGCCCAGGATTTTCAGACAGGTATTGGAAAAAAGCTTCAAAGGTAAGCTTTTCCTCTAGATGCATAGCAGGTTGAGGCATGGTTTTTTTTTTTTCCTCATCCTACATTCATCTTTTGTTGCATTCAGCATACAGTAGGGCCCCACTTATACGGCAGGTTAGGTTCCAGGCTACCACCGTAAAGCGGAAATTGCCGTAAAGTGGAACACCCTTTTTTCCCCCTTATAAATGCATAGAAATACTAGATAACAAGTTTACAATAACATATATTAAGTTAGCAATAGAACTAGGCATTAAAAACAATAAAAAAGTAAAATACACATATAGTACACTCATTACTTTCCTTAAAATATTTGTAGTCTTAATGTAGGGTGAGATGAGTAGCATTTATTGTAAGAAATCAAGTGTGGTATGTATGGTAGCCAGCCAGGCTACCAAACCAGGCCAACCCACCCACACATAATATTCTATGACATTTAACCCTTAAACGGTCCAAACTTATATATAAGTTCTCTCGCGTAGCGCCCCAAACATATATGTATGTTTTATTTTTCATTCATTCAAAATTGGCACGATAGGCCTGAGTTGCCTAGACATGAGAGAATGGGTGTGCGCACTCAGTGTGTGCAGTATGAAAAAAATTGGGGATGCCTGGGTACCACATGCTAGGTCCAGTTACATTCAGCTCCATCTTGGGTCAGCATCATGGCACATTCTCGTGATTCACTCACGCCTTGTCGTATTAACACACTGCTGTTCGAGGACCGCCCAGCATCCCCTCAACCATGTGCTGCCTCCACTCCTGTCCTTCCTCCTGCTCCCCCTCTCCCCATGCCACAGGTCCACCCTGCACCATGTGATCGTGAGTGGAACTGGATACAAAGTATATTCATGCCACAGCCTTGTGATTTTGATGCGAGTGGAAGTGGTATCCAGCCAGAATGTCTCATAACAAATGAGTCTACAGAGTTGGACTATTTCCAGTTGTACTTTGACGAGCCTATAATGAATTTGATAGTGACCCAGACAAACAATTATTACCGATATGTCATGGACAACATAAGAGGTTGGAGAATCGTCACGACTGCACAGGTGGAAGGACACAACAGTGGCTGAAATGTATTTATTCTTTGCTACTGTCATGCTTATGCCAAATATCTATAAGAATAATATACGTAATTACTGGTCCACAGACCACTTCATCAGTACTCCAGTTTTCCATGACCTTCCCTGCAGCAGATTCACACTGTTGCTACGAATGTTGCACTTCTCAGACAGAAATACGCCAAACAGAAATGACCTCCTATACAAAATCCGGGAAGTGTTTATGTATTTGAAGCAGAAATTCAGTGCATACTTTTATCCCTTCAAGAGCATTGTTGTCATTCAAGCAATATATACCGAGCAAATGTAATCGCTTGGGTATAAAACTTTTTGTTATGTGTGACTGTGAGAGTGGTTTTGTGTTGGATGTTATTGTATACACCGGGAGAAATACACTCGATGATGACAGACGGATGTTGGGCATTTCTGGTGATGGTGTTCGCAGGATGATGGAACCATACCTTGGCAAGGGCCATACATTGTACACAGACAACTGGTATACAAACTCTGTGCTGCGCAGATTTCCTACGTGTGAACATTACTGATATATGTGGAACAGTGAGAAGGAATAGAAAACACATGCCAAGGTTCAGTGGAGGCAGTGTTGAATGTGCAGTGCAAGTGTTTGATGCTAATGACATCATGGCACTGATGTGGCATGACAAACGGGACATGACATTGCTGTCAACCATCCACAGAAACGAGATGGTACAGACAGACTGAGCAAGTTCAACAAAGAACCTATTGTAAAGCCAGCTGCTGCATTGACTATACGAATAATGTGTAATGTGTGACTAGTTGACAAGTGTGACATGATGATGGGGTTTGTTGACTGTGTGCGTAGGAGTCGCAAGTGGTATATAAAACTGTTTTTTCACCTTGTAGACATTGCAGTGCTCAATGCATTCAATATGTATGAAATAAAGACTGGAAAACGACAACGTTTTGCAGAATTCTCTCTGAATGTTGTCAAACAGATAGCAAGAAAGTATGGTACCACACCTGTACCTTCCCCTCAACAACGACCTGTCACACCACAACCTGTCCCCCAACCACAGCCAGTGGGGGAAGTGCCAGACCGAATCACTCCTAACTGTCACTATCTGGTACCAATACCACCTTCCCAAAAGAAGAAGAATGTCCGGAAAAAGTGTGCTGTGTGTGCTACCACCAAAAAACGACCCCAACAGCGGAAGGACACATGATTCATTTGTCACCAGTGTGGGGTGGCACACTATGAATCTATGCTTCATGGAGTATCATACAGTCGTGGAGTTCTAGAAACATAAGTGGGACATGTAAGTACTTGTATATAGTTGTAGATAATAGATTGTGATTCAGCCAGGTGTGCAAAATCACCTGTATGTGTGTGTTTATGACAATATGATGATAATTTCATATATAATATTGGTGTATAAAACAACATTGAAATCAAAAGATTTACTATAAAGCATAATTATCATATCATGAAAACCAAGAAAATGAAAAAAAAAAAAATGGAAGAAAATGGCAAATATGTAGAATTTCTGCAAGCGGCAGCGCTCCATGTTGCCATCAGGTGATCGCCAAGTGCCAACTTCGCGGCCTCATATCTCAGTAAGTACTGACTCTAAAACACTTAAAAAATTGTGCTCTTTTTTTTTTTTCATAAAAAAAAATAATTTTTTTTTTTTTTTTTTCAAAATATTCGGGGCGCTGCACAAGTGAACGTATATATATGTTTGGACCGTTTAAGGGTTAAGCATCCCAGAGCAATAAAATGCATATACAGTTCATTCATTACTTACCTTAAAATATTTGTAGTCTTAATGTAGGGTCAGAGGTGAGTAAACTAGATAAGTGTGTGTGTGTGTGTGTGTGTGTGTGTGTGTGTGTGTACATGAGAAAGGACAGGTGCAGAGTTATGTAAACATACAAGGCGAACATGTCTGGTTTGTGTAGAAGTTACATTGTGTACAAGTTGTCTTTGTTGATACAGTAGAATAAATAAAGAGGAACACTCCCATTCTCATGTAACACCATTTTTTGAAGAAATGATGCTCTGTGTGAAGGCATACGAAAGGAAAATTTTTCTACAGTTATGTCCAGTAACACATTTTCTCTTATGTTGGACTAGAGAAAACGTTATTCTTGCCTTCACTCTTACAAGTTGTCTGGCTACCACATCTCATGTTTGTTTATTTATTCTACGGTGGGGTGTATTTATCATCTTTATATGTTACGTATCGTGTTTATTATATAATTTTGAAAAAAATATCATAGATGGATTAGTGAAAATATGTACTGAGGGGCAACTGATATATTGGATCATTATTTAGTTGTAGCTGCAGTTAGAGTAAGAGGTAGATGGGACAAGAGGAAAATGGCAACAACAAGTAAGAGAGAGGTGAAAGTGTTGAAACTAAGGGAGGAGGAAGTTCGGGTGAGATATAAGCAACTATTGGCAGAAAGGTGGGCTAGTGCAAGTATGAGTAGTGGCGGGGTTGAAGAGGGTTGGAATAGTTTTAAAAATGCAGTACTGTATTAGAATGTGGAGCAGAAGTTTGTGGTTATAGGAGGGTGGGTGCAGGAGGAAAGAGGAGTTATTGGTGGAATGATGAAGTAAAGGGTGTGATAAAAGAGAAAAAGGAAGCTTATGAGAGGTTTTTACAAAGCAGAAGTGTTTTAAGAAGAGCAGAGTATATGGAGAGTAAAAGAAAGGTAAAGAGAGTGGTGAGAGGGTGCAAAAGGAGAGTAGATGATAGAGTGGGAGAAGCACTGTCAAGAAATTTTAATGAAAATAAGAGAGAATTTTGGAGCGAGTTAAACAAGCTAAGAAAGCCTAGGGAGCGAATGGATTTGTCAGTTACAAAACAGAGTAGGGGTTAGTAGATGGGGGTATTGGGTAGATGGCGGGAATATTTTGAGGAACTTTTAAATGACGAAGAAAGGGAGACGGTAATTTCATGCATTGGCCAGGGAGGTATACCATCTTTTAGGAGTGAAGAAGAGCAGGATGTGAGTGTGGGGGAGGTGCGTGAGGCATTACGTAGAATGAAAGGGGGGTAAAGTAGCTGGAACTGACTGGATCATTACAGAAATGTTAAAAGCAGGGGGGGATATAGTGTTAGTGGTTGGTATTTTTGTTTAATAAATGTATGAAAGAGGGGAAGGTACCTAGGGATTGGGAGAGAGCATGTATAGTTCCTTTATATAAAGGGAACGGGGACAAAAGAGATTGTAAGTATTATAGAGGAATTAGTTTACTGAGTTGTTGAAAGAATTTGATGTAAGACAATGTAGGATAGCAGATGAGCAAGGAAGTTTTAGAGTGGATAGGGGATGTATAGATCGTGTTTACATTGAATCATATATGTGAACAGTATTTAGATAAAGGTAGAGAAGTTATCATTACATTTATGGATTTAGAAAAGGCATATGCTAGTGGATAGGAGAACAATGTGGCAGAATTTGCAAGTATATGGAATAGGTAGTAACTTATTAAATGCTGTAAAGAATTTTTATGAGGATAGTGAGGCTCAGGTTAGGGTGTGTAGAAGAGAGGGAAACTACTTCCCAGTAAAAGTAGGTCTTAGACAGGGATGTGTAATGTCACCATGGTTGTTTAATATATTTATAGATGGGGTTGTAAAAGAAGTAAATGCGAGGGTGTTGGGGAGAAGGGTGGGATTAAATTATGGGGAATCAAATACAAAATGGGAATTCACACAGTTACTTTTTGCTGATGATATTGTGATAATGGGAGATTCTAAAGAAAAATTGCAAATGTTAGTGGACGAGTTTGGGAGAGTGTGTAAAGGTAGAAAGTTGAAGTTGAACACAGAAAAGAGTAAGGTGATGAGAGTATCAAATGATTTAGATAAAGAAAAATTGGATATCAAATTGGAGAGGAAGAGTATGGAAGAAGTGAATGTTTTCAGATATTTGGGAGTTGAAGTGTCAGCAGATGGGTTTATGAAAGTGGATGTTAATTATAGAATTGATGAAGGAAAAAAGGCGAGTGGTGCGTTGAAGTATATGTGGAGACAAAAAAACGTTATCTATGGAGGCAAAGAAAGGAATGCATGAAAGTATAGTGGTACCAACACTCTTATATGGGTGTGAAGCTTGGGTTGTAAATGCTGCAACAAGGAGACAGTTGGAGGCAGTGGAGATGTCCTGTCTAAGGGCAGTGTGTGGTGTAAATATTATGCAGAAAATTCGGAGTGTGAAAATTAGGAGAAGTTGTGGAGTTAATAAAAGTATTAGTCAGAGGGCTGAAGAGGGGTTGTTTAGGTGGATTGGTCATATAAAGAGAATGGATCCAAGTAGAATGACATGGAGAGCATATAAATCTGTAGGAGAAGGAAGGCGGGGTAGGGGTCGAATAATGTAGATAAAATATAAAATCGGGAATTTACTAAAAACTTCATAAAAAATAAAATATGATTCTCGATCAACTTGCATTAACTCCTAAACAGGCCAAATGTATATATATTTACCGCTAGCCTCAAAAGTATATATACGTTTTAATTTTCCTGCCTCCAAATTTGGCATGATTGGCCTGAGATGCCTGGTCAGCATAGAATGGGTCTTAACACTCGGTGTGCACCATATTAAAAAAATCTGGGACCACTTAGTACCTTGTGGTAACGCCAGTTAAATTGAGCGCCAGCTCGAGCAAACAACAAACACCAAGGATTCACTGATGTAATGTCATATTAACACTTCCCTTTTAAGAGGAAAGTTATGTTAACCCCAAGTTTAGGGTCTGTCTGTCTCTGTCTCTATCTCTTTCAATCTGTCTGTCTATCTCTGTCTCACAGGTACACATAAATACAAGTATACATAGTGTAAATTACCTAGGATAACCCAAAAAATCCTGACAAAGTGCTATACTTTGCTTGAAGATGTGAGTAAACGTGATGATGCAGTCTTGTGGCGGTCTCTGAAACAGAGAGCTAGATGGATAGACAGACAGGGAGCTTGACAGACAAATAGACAGACATGTTTGTGTACCAGCGAAAACAAAGGAGGGCTGATGATCATCAAATGTCACCTCTAATCTTTTCTTATCAAGTCTTATCACGTCACTGTCAGGGGTGGACTTTGTTTTTCATGCTTCAAGGAAACTTATTACCTATTATTATTATTACGTATTCTCCTCCTCCTCCCTCCCTCCTCCTCCCTTCCTCCCTCCTCTTCTTCATCCTCTTCTTCATCCTCTTCTTCATCATCCTCTTCCTCCTTCTCCTCCTCATTATTATTGTATACTTCCACATATCCAAAACATTGCTGGGACTTATAAATACTTTGTATATATATATTCCAGGACAAGAGTAAATGGCCAAGGCAGGTGTAAATGTCCACCTGTCAATGTGTCTTGTGACAATTTGAGTACAATTTTAGTACCTAATACTAGTGTCAGAACAAAGATTGGTTATGAAATGACAAGAACTACTATAAATTATAATTATCAGAACATAAAAATTATATAAAATACATATGAAAAATAGAAAAAAGGTATATCGGCAACACTTCTGCAAGTGGCAGGACTCAGTGTTGCTGTCACGTGAGCATCCAGTGCCAACTTCTCGGCCTCATACCTCTGTAAGTACTGACTCTTAATTTTTTTTTTATCCTATAACACTTAGAAAAATGTGCTCTTTATTTTCATTAAAAAAAAAAAAAAAACATTTTTTTTTTTTCAAAATATTCGGGGCACTGGGGTAGTGAACATATATTTGGACCGTTTGGGGGTTAAACTAATCCTGTATGAGACCACTACCATGTGCATGAAACTAATGTACACAAAAACCAGCACATTTGAATAAAAAATTTTATACAAAATTGAGATTGGAAATTTTTCTGAAAAATAAAAGGAGGGAATATTTTGAGGAATTGTGAAATGTTGTTGAAGATAGGGAAGCTGTGATTTTGTGTATAGGGCAAGGAGGAATAACATCTTGTAGGGGTGAGGAAGAGCCAGTTGTGAGTGTGGGGGAAGTTCGTGAGGCAGTAGGTACAATGAAAGGGGGTCAGGCAGCCAGGATTGATGGGATAAAGATAGAAATGTTAAAAGCAGGTGGGGATATAGTTTTGGAGTGGTTGGTGCAATTATTTAATAAATGTATGGAAGAGAGTAAGGTACCTAGGGATTGGCAGAGAGCATGCATAGTTCCTTTGTATAAAGGCAAAGGGGATAAAAGAGAGTGCAAAAAATTATAGGGGGATAAGTCTGTTGAGTATACCTGGTAAAGTGTATGGTAGAGTTATTATTGAAAGAATTAAGAGTAAGACGGAGAATAGGATAGCAGATGAACAAGGAGGCTTTAGGAAAGGTAGGGGGTGTGTGGACCAGGTGTTTACAGTGAAACATATAAGTGAACAGTATTTAGATAAGGCTAAAGAGGTCTTTGTGGCATTTATGGATTTGGAAAAGGCGTATGACAGGGTGGATAGGGGGGCAATGTGGCAGATGTTGCAGGTGTATGGTGTAGGAGGTAGGTTACTGAAAGCAGTGAAGAGTTTTTATGAGGATAGTGAGGCTCAAGTTAGAGTATGTAGGAAAGAGGGAAATTATTTCCCAGTAAAACTAGGCCTTAGACAAGGATGTGTGATGTCACCGTGGTTGTTTAATATATTTATAGATGGGGTTGTAAGAGAAGTAATTGCGAGGGTCTTGGCAAGAGACGTGGAGTTAAAAGATAAAGAATCACACATAAAGTGGGAGTTGTCACAGTTGCTCTTTGCTGATGACACTGTGCTCTTGGGAGATTCTGAAGAGAAGTTGCAGAGATTGGTGGATGAATTTGGTAGGGTGTGCAAAAGAAGAAAATTAAAGGTGAATACAGGAAAGAGTAAGGTTATGAGGATAAAAAGATTAGGTGATGAAAGATTGGATATCAGATTGGAGGGAGAGAGTATGGAGGAGGTGAATGTATTCAGATATTTGGGAGTGGACGTGTCAGCGGATGGGTCTATGAAAGATGAGGTGAATCATAGAATTGATGAGGGGAAAAGGGTGAGTCTGTGGAGACAAAGAACTTTGTCCTTGGAGGCAAAGAGGGGAATGTATGAGAGTATAGTTTTACCAACGCTCTTATATGGGTGTGAAGCATGGGTGATGAATGTTGCAGCGAGGAGAAGGCTGGAGGCAGTGGAGATGTCATGTCTGAGGGCAATGTGTGGTGTGAATATAATGCAGAGAATTCGTAGTTTGGAAGTTAGGAGGAGGTGCGGGATTACCAAAACTGTTGTCCAGAGGGGTGAGGAAGGGTTGTTGAGGTGGTTCGGACTTGTAGAGAGAATGGAGCGAAACAGAATGACTTCAAGAGTGTATCAGTCTGTAGTGGGAGGAAGGCAGGGTAGGGTCGGCCTAGAAAAGGTTGGAGGGAGGGGGTAAAGGAGGTTTTGTGTGCGAGGGGCTTGGACTTCCAGCAGGCATGCGTGAGCGTGTTTGATAGGAGTGAATGGAGACAAATGGTTTTTAATACTTGACGTGCTGTTGGAGTGTGAGCAAAGTAACATTTATGAAGGGGTTCAGGGAAACCGGCAGGCCGGACTTGAGTCCTGGAGATGGGAAGTACAGTGCCTGCACTCTGAAGGAGGGGTGTTAATGTTGCAGTTTAAAAACTGTAGTGTAAAGCACCCTTCTGGCAAGACAGTGATGGAGTGAATGATGGTGAAAGTTTTTCTTTTTCGGGCCACCCTGCCTTGGTGGGAATCGGCCAGTGTGATAATAAAAATAAAAAAAGCACTGTGCACTGCTGTTTTGAAAAATGCAGAAATATGTCCTTATTGAAAAAAATTTGGAAATCACTGGTCTAAATCACTGCTAACTAAATTATTTGGTACTGTCTGGTATTTTACTGGATAATTTGCCATTTAAAAAACTTCATAATATTGGCCCTCTTATAGGGGCTAATGGTATAACATGTATCAATTTAAATCTTAAACTTTGTTGGTACTCAAACCAGGAGAAGGTAGTATTACTATTAGTAGTAATATAGCATTTTTTTTTTTTTTTTTGTGTGTGTGTGTGTGTGTGTGTGTGTGTGTGTGTGTGTGTGTGTGTGTGTGTGTGTGTGTGTGTGTGTGTGTGTGTGTGTGTGTGTGTGTATAGTTTCAGGTAGTGTGTTATGTTAAGGCATAGTAGATTGTAATCCTGTTTATTATTTCAGGTACCTGGTTCTCAAGTCATGGTGGGCAAGCAACTATGTAACAGATTGGTGGGAAGAGTTCGTGTATCTGCGAGGCCGATCACCAATCATGGTTAACTCTAATTTCTATGGCACAGATGCCATTCTTCTCCACCCAACACAGATTCAGGCAGCTCGTGCAGCAAATGTAACTCATGCAGCTTTTCTTTTCCGACGCTTGATAGATAATCAACAACTTAAACCAGTAAGTAGGTTTATAACCATTGCTCTTATAGTATATCCATAGTCATGTTTACACACACCGTGTGCATACATTGCATGCACACAGTGCATGCACTCTGCACAAGCATACTGTGTATGCACTCTGCACAGGCAGTGCATGCATACTGCGTGCATCACGAACACACCGAGGAGACCATGCTCGCATTCACCCCAACTCTTACACATTGCACGCACCCCTTTCCCCCACTTGCACAACTACACATTCCCCCTACTTAGACACACATGACAACATGTGCACGCATGGGATGGGGGCATGCATTCACAGCACTCGTGTCCCATTCACGCACTGCATGTAACCCCCCCCCACACCACAACTCTCACACACACGCACACACCGCACACACACACGCGCACACTACACACGCGCACATCACACACAGCGCACACACACAACCGTCACTACACACACGCGCACACACACCACACGTGCACACACACACGCGCGCACTACAACACACACTACACACACACACAACCACACATCACACACACCACACACATCACACACTACAACACACACACACACACACACACACATCGCACACACACACCACACAACACACACACACACACACACACACACACACATACAACACACACACCACACACACACACACACATCACACACACACACACACACACTACACACACACACACACACTCCAACTCTCACAACACTCACTCTCTCACACACTCTCACTCCACTCACACTCGTCTCACACTCTCACTCTCACATCACACACTCTCTCACACTCCTCTCACACACCCACATCTCTCTCACACTCACACTCTCACACTCTCACTCTCTCTCACACTCTCACTCCTCTCTCACACTCTCTCACACTCTCACTCTCCCACATCTCCACACTCTCCACTCTCTCACACTCTCACTCCTCTCGCACTCTCACCACTCCTCACACTCTCGCACTCTCGCACTCTCACACTCCACACTTCTCGCACTCTCGCACTCTCACACTCCCACTCTCCGCACTCTCACACTCCCACTCCGCACTCATCACACCTCCCACTCTCCTCCTCACACTCCCACTCTCTCTCTCACACTCCCACCCTCTCCTCCACACTCCCACTCCCTCTCTCACACTCCCCTCTCACACTCCCACTCTCTCTCACACTCTCACTCTCTCCACTCTCTCACTCACACTCCACCATCTCTCACAACTCTCACTCTCACACTCTCTCCTCACACTCTCACTCTCACACTCTCACTCTCTCTCACACTCTCACTCCCACTCTCTCTCACCACTCCCACTCCCACCTCTCCACACTCCCACTCTCTCACACTCCCACTCTCTCACACTCTCACCTCCCCCACTCCTCACTCTCCCCACACTCTCACCCTCACACCTCACTCTCTCTCACACTCTCACTCTCACACTCTCTCACACTCTCACTCTCACATCTCACCTCACTCTCTCTCACACTCCCACTCTCTCACACTCCCACTCTCTCACACTCCCCCTCTCTCACACTCCCACTCTCTCACACTCCCACCCCTCCACACTCCCACTCTCTCACACTCCCACTTCTCACACTCCACTCTCTCACACTCTCACTCTCTCACACTCTCACTCTCTCAACACTCTCACTCTCACACTCTCACTCTCTCACACTCTCTCACTCTCTCACTCTCACTCACTTTTCACTCACTCTCACTCTCTCTCACTCTCTCTCACCTCTCACCCCCTCTCTCACTCTCACTCTCCTCACCTCTCTCACTCTCTCACTCTCATCTCTCACTCTCACTCTCTCACCTCACTCTCACTCCCCTCTCACTCTTCCCCCTCTCTCACTCTCTCACTCTCACTCTCTCTCTCACTCTCCCTCCCCTCCCACACACACACACACACACACACACACACACACACACACACCACACATATTCACATTATTCTCACTTGCACACTCCCCCTCCCTCCCTTACCTCCAAAATTAATGTTTATAATCAATATGATTCATTTATACTACTTTTCTACTAAATGTCATTTTGTAGCTAGCTATTATTATTCATAGTTTTATCGTGGTAATCACTATCTTTTTACTTGGTATCAAAAGACTAAATTTAAAAACTAAACAATAGTTAAAGAATTAGGGCAGAAAATTCTTAAGTTATTCAGATAAGCAAATTTTACTAAGAGTTTCAGGATTCATGTTGGTTCCAGGAATATAAACCCTGTGAATTAGTGTTGCACTGGATGATAGTGTCACATATATTAGTTGCCTAAGTACATAAAACAGTTCTGAATCTGAAAAAGAGTAAAGATTTTGGCTTTTTGTTTTGGTTCTTCAAGATTTTACTGAATGACAGGTATGTATTAAGTTGGTAGAGAGCAACTATACAGGGAGGTACTGCTGTTTTGTCATAACGAGTGTGAAGGAGAACTCTGTTACACTTTTGCATTCTGATAGGATTGTTACTTTTTCTTTCACTTGTGAATGTGGAAGATGGGTAAATCATATGAACTTCTTGCTTAAGTTTTTGATAAATTTAGTGAGTAATTTTAAGTAGTTCTTACTTTAGTGTTTCTCTCTCCTGATTTGAGGCCAGATGTGAGACAAGGCCACAATGATGATCATTGATATCATTAACAGATTTACGATATTGTCCAGTACCATTTTCTAAAGCCTAAAACATGACCTTTATTTTAAATAGTCATGGACTACAGTTGAATACTGCCTTCAAGAAAAAAATTCATTTAAGTAAACCACTTAGTGTTAAAACAAATTTCTGTGAAATATGACTCGTTTCTAGTAGGCTTTTTTTTTTATTTTTAACACATCGGCTGTTTCCCACCAAGGCAGGGTGGCCCGAAAAAGAAAAACTTTCATCATTCACTCCATCACTGTCTTGCCAGAGGTGCACTTACACTAGTTATATAACTGCAACATTAACACCCCTCCTTTAGAGTGCAGACACTGTACTTCCCATCTCCAGGACTCGAGTCCAGCCTGCCGGTTTCCCTGACTCCCTTCATAAATGTTACCTTTGCTCACTCTCCAACAGTACGTCAGGTCCTAAAAACCACTTAGTCTCCATTCGCTCCGATATAACATGCTCACGCATGCTTGCTGGAAGTCGAAGCCCCTTGCGCACAAAACTTCCTTTACCCCTACTTCCAACCTTTCTTTGGCCAACCCCTGCCCTGCCTTCCCTCCACTACAGATTTATACACTTGAAGTCATTCTACTTTGTTCCACCCTCTCTACATGTCCAAACCACCTCAACAATCCCTCCTCAGCCCTCTGGATAATAGTTTTGGTAATCCTGCAACACCTAATTTCCAAACTATGAATTCTCTGCATTATATTCACACCACACATTGCCCTCAAACACGACATCTCCATTGCCTCCAGCCTTCTCCTTGTTGCAACTTTCACTACCCAAGTTTCACACCCATATAAAAGTGTTGATATAACTATACTCTTATACATTTCCTCTGCTTCCATGGACAAAGTTCTCTTTTAATGGGAAATAATCTCCCTCTCTCCAACATAATCTAACCTGAGCCTCTCTATCCTTGTAAAAACTCTTCACTGCTTTCAGTAACCTACCTCCTATTTCATACATTTGCAACATCCTCCACATTGCCCCCTTATCCACATTATCATACACCTTTTCCAAATCTATAAATGCCACAAAAACCTCTTTACTCTTATCTAAATACTGTTCACCTATATGTTTTACTGTAAACATTCATTCTTCATGGGAAAGTGGAACAGAATTCTTCCTCTGTAACCAGTGCGTGTCGTAAGAGGCGACTAAAATGCCAGGAGCAAGAGGCTAGTAACCCCTTATCCTGTATACATTACTGAAGTTGAAAAGAGAAATTTTTGTTTTTCTTTTTGGGCCACCCTGCTTCAGTGGGATATGGCCAGTTAGTTGAAAGAAGAAAACTTAGTCTCCATACCCCCTCCCTTTCCTAAAGCCTCCTGGTTCATCTGCTATCCTGCTCTCTCTTTCTTACTCTTAATTCTTTCAATATTAACTCTACCATACACTTTACCAGGTATATTCAACAGACTTCTTTCAACAAATCGGCCGTATCCCACCAAAGCAGGGTGGCCCAAAAAGAAGAAAAAAGTTTCTCTTTTTAACTTTAATGAAGTATACAGGAAGAGGGGTTACTAGCCCTTGGCTCCCAGCATTTTAGTAGTCTCTTAAGACATGCATGGCTTAAGGAGGAAGAATTCTGTTCCACTTCCCCATGGAGATAAGAAGAAATAAACAAGAACTATAACTAGTAAGAAAATAAAAGAAAACCCAGAGGGTTTTGTGTGTATATGTATAGTATATATACATGTATATGCTTTCTAGGTAGTAGGTTGGTAGACAGCAACCGCCCAGGGAGGTACTACCGTCCTGCCAAGCGAGTGTAAAACGGAAGCCTGTAATTGTTTTACATGATGGTAGGATTGCTGGTGTCCTTTTTTCTGTCTCATAAACATGCAAGATTTCAGGTATGTCTTGCTACTTCTACTTACACTTAGGTCACACTACACATACATGTACGAATATATATACACACCCATCTGGGTTTTCTTCTATTTTCTTTCTTGTTCTTGTTTATTTCCTCTTACCTCCATGGGGAAGTGGAACAGAATTCTTCCTCCGTAAGCCATGTATGTTGTAAGAGGCGACTAAAATGCCGGGAGCAAGGGGCTAGTAACCCCTTCTCCTGTATATATTACTAAATGTAAAAGGAGAAACTTTCATTTTTCCTTTTGGGCCACCCCGCCTCGATGGGATACGGCCGGTGTGTTGAAAAGAAAGAAAAATATATATGCTTGTTCAGCAAGCCCTGCTTGACGGTGTTTTGCATTACGGCATACCGCTAATACGGTGATTTCAAATTACATGTATATAACCAAAACACGCTATACAGCAAGCGGTCTTTCTAATACGGCTCGCACCACCTGGTTTGTTTACATTCTCCGTGAGCACAT